CCGCGATGTCAAAATGGCGTAAAGGGTGGTCCAAATTTGCGGTAACGAAGTTTGCGGGCGACAGCTCGTTCCATCACTAAACGAATATTGTAAGATAACAACCCCAAATGGGTTTTAATACGTAGTAACCTTGTTATCAATAATGCCGGAGATACTTCAACTCAACAAAGCTTGTTTTTGTATGAAATTGGAAATAAACAATTCATTGTTATTACTTCGTACTGCTGTAATTTGGCCGGTGGTTCGGAAAATTAAGAGTTCCTAGTAACGATGTAAAAGCTTTTTATAGGTTAATTCATTTTGTCTTTGAATTAAATCCAAATAGATAATGTATTGATAAATTACTTTTTGACAATTTGTGATTGTACTTTAGAAAAATTACTGGATATAAACAAAAGAATAAATATACATTTTGCAGCATAACTACTGGAATCATACACTAACAAAAGTCAGAATTTGACTGTGATATCATAAAATTGTAGGTAAAAAGTTCTGCTAAATAAAGCGTCTCATTTCTAAGAAAACAAAGAATTAATTTACGATTGTATCAAACATGTCGAGGACGAGATTGGTTGTCATCTGTCGACATGTCTGCTCTGTGTGTGCATTACTCTGTGATGACGTCACAATACACAAGATTAGCAAAGCGGAGAAAATAATAAACAATAGAATCTCGACTGCCTCAAATGTGTAATACTAAATATTGCCAGCGACTTCGTGCGGAATTTAAAAATAACTCATTGCATATGTCTCCTTCCAATTAATATGTTCTTCATTTGTGCCAAATGTTCTCGAAATCCATTACAAACTATCGCATTTATTAAAATGATTGTGTTTTGTCGAAGTCTAAAGACTGCGGCCACCTTTAAAAAAGCAAATTGCCATCCCTGTTATTTAAAAAAAAAGGAATGAGATAACCATATATTCAACTACAGTGGACGGATAGTAAAATTAACACTAAGTATAAAATATTTAATACGACTTGACAAACTTTATGATTTGCATTGTTTCTTTGTTATAGAGTTGATTTGCTCGGACAATACCAGTAATTTAAATATTAATACAATATCTTTTACAAATTAACATACTATATCTTTGCGTACAAAATTAAAAACATAAATCTCGTTAAGGTGTAAGATATATTTCAGCGACGGCACAGAAGTAATTTAGTCGAGTTAACGAGCGAGTCAAAGTACACGTGAGCATTCACGTTGAAAAAAATGTACGTTTTCATTACTTTATAATGAGGTCGCACTTTAATATTAAAATATATGTAATAGTACATATTTTGCAGAGACCTATATGTCTCTGCAAAATATGTACTAAGTATGCAGATGACGTTATTTAAATTACTCTTTCAACCATTGACTTATTATCAAAAGAATTTCGAAATGACAAAAGACACATCTCTACTATATTATTTTTACTACTAAAGATTTTTTTATGTATTAAAATAACTCAAAAACTACTAGGGTGATTTCAAAAACTCTTTCACCATTAAAAAGCTACGTTATCAGTGAGTAACATAGGCTATATTGCTTAACTATTTTTAATTTCACGAGGATAAAGTCGCGAGCAACAGTTTATGATATAAAAGGTAAGTACTTAAGTATATAAAATGACTTATTACAAACATTGATTAGACCGAAAATTCTCTTATTCCCTTACATCTTCGGTGGGTCTACCGTAGACCTTAGGGGGACTTGAACCTTCTGGACTTCGGATATAGATAAAATGTTGAAATAAAAAAACAAGATACGTAGTTGCTTCAGAAACTTTTATACGTAATGGCTTCAAAATTTAACGTATTCGTCCATATGCTTCGGACAATAAATACAATTTGAGATCCGCGGTGTTTCATTTTAGAAAAAATTGCCTTGTCCATTGCAACGAGACAAACACCGCCTCTTCCTACAAATAATTAGATAGCTGTGAGTTGTACAAACGAAGGGATAATATTAAAAACAAACAAGCCATGTATCACGAACAAACTTTTTTTTCCTACAGATATATTGATAAGATGAGTGGTATTAATTTTTGTTCCGCGTCTCATTTAAAAAGGTTAAAACGATTGTAACTTTTAACTTGGAATACCAGCGCCACCGCAACTAATATCAATAGCACCAATTATGTAAGAAAAAATTAAATGTAACAAAATTGTAATAAAATAGGGATAACAAATTTAAATAAACGTAACGATAGTCTGTGACGACTAGAATGTCAGGGGTGTACGAGAGGGAGGCATAGCGCCTCCCAAAAAAAAAAAACTTGGAATACCGTCAGTTTCTCCAAATGTACATACGTGGTATTGACGAATATTAGCACATTGATTTTTTCAACAGAAAATGTATAGAAATCTCTAAAATAAATGTGTACATATTTTTGCTGCTGACTGTACTTTATTAAATCACAATGGCCGCCTGTTTGGTCGCTGTCCATTAGATACGTTCGCGCGTAAATTACTCACAATTTAATCATCCACTTCACTGCTGAAACCTGAGTGTATCACTCGGTAATTAATATTTACTAAGTGCTCTGTACCTTTGCTGTACTATTGCAAATAGTCGAACTTTCCTTTTGGGTGTTTTCCGTTGGGTCCATCGGCTAACCATTCGACCCAATGGGAAACACTATTAAAATAAATAACAGCATGTTACTCGCGACTTCGCCACCATGAAATTAAAAAAATAGTAAAATTACTCAGTGATAACATCGCTTTGTAATGGTGCAAGAATTTAGGAAATCATAGTTTTTGAGTTATTTCAATACATGCAAAAACCTAAAAATACAAATCTTTATAACATTAGTATAGGTAATTGCATTTTAATGAACTAGTCATAATACAAGGAGTTTTGCATATGTTTTTGTATCAATATTTTATTCCACAACGAATTTATTGTAGGTCATAAAAACAACCTTTTATATTAAAAATCCTAAATTTCAAAGTAAATTTAGTTAAAGGGCCAGACTGACAGCTATTTCCGTCGCATAAGAAGGTAAAAATATCCGAGCGAAAGATATAGGCTCTTGTATTGAAGAGCACACGTCGTCGCGGTTCCGCCGAGCGTTTCTGAAGGCTTTCCTGTAGGGCTCTTGAAATAAAAAACTTAGTTTGCTCATTTTAAATGACAAAGTTTGAATTTAAAATAATAAAGTTCATAAACTAATTTAGTTTATTACTTTTTAATCCAATTGGTATATTTAAATGAATTTTTTATTTAATTTTTATATAAGGTTTCAAATACAGTTGGACCTTGATAGCTCAAATCTCGGTAACATAAAAACCTCTATAACTTCAAAAAATAATATGTTCTCTTCTCATCAGAGCCAAATACCTCTATAACAGACCCTTGATAACTTAAAACCTCTATAACTTAAAATATTTTGTGTTTCCCTTGGACTTTAACTTATCGAGGTTCTACTGTACTTGTTTTTGTTAGCAAATAACATCTGATATCATACAAGTTAACTTTGAGGTCCCACAAGTTACTTACGAGACAAAAAGTAAATTCTGTCCGAGTTTACATAAGACGATATGGGTTAATTTGCAAAAGCGATTGCTAAAGAGCCTGGATTTTTTGTCAATTTGTTAAATATACTCCTGAAAGTAGGTAAGTGAATTAATAATTAGCGATTTACTCACTATTAAAAAACATTTTCTATCCCATTTTCCTTGTGTAACATCTGTGCGATACAAAAAACATTAAAAATCACTCCGTACAATGTTGAATATTTTCACAGCACCGAAAAACTCGCACACACAAAACCAAACATTCCGCGAGAAGCGTGTGAATAAAACATTTGTACGTTTGCAAAAAATCAAGCGGAAAACTCGAAATGTTTTCGGAGAGAAATCAATTATTCAGCAAGTAGAGAACTGAAGTACGGAACTCGGATTTTAAATAATAATGACAACGTCTGGGGTTTACGGTATTTTATTTTTTAACACGTTTACTGACACAAGTAAAATCATAACTCTTCATCTGGTGTGTGGTGCATAGCAGGTCTTTTTAGACCCACCAGCACTAGGACAGATTAAATTGCTATAACTTTTTGCAAATAAAATGTATACATTTTATGTAATGTAATGTATACACCTGAGATCGTATCGCACTAGCGAGAGGGACATAGTTTTCTTCGTTCGCACCTTAAGTACTGTGTCGGGCCGATATCGGCCTGTTACGCAGTGAGCGTGTTAAAAAAATTGAATGTATTGTTGATAAGTCATATAACTTTAATGTCTGTGTGTTTTATCATAAAAATAGCTCAACAAACTATTCCGGTGACGTAATTCGTTTGTAATAATGTATCACGAAAGTTTATAATGTTTTAAAAAGGTGACGTTATCTAAAATATAATATGGCGGGTAGTTGCAATAGTGTTAGTTGTCATTTATAGAATTTTCCCAATAAAGAAGGTGCCCGAATAAACAAATTAAAAATAGCGCAACAAAAGTATAATATTCCGGTGACGAAATTCGTTTATAATAATGTATCACGAAAGTTTAAAGTGTTTTAAAAAGGTGACTATCTAAAATATAATAGTTTTTGTATGTATATTGTATCGAATACCTTATAATATAGATATCGGCGCTCGCAGCGCTAATGGACAGTAATAGCCTGTAACTAGATATTGGCTTGGCGTTATTGCATTGCTGGTACTCAATAAAGCAATCGAGCGAGCACTTTATGTGGAAATTCTATTCCCTCCCCCATAGTGATGACACCCTGGTATTATATGGAGTGTAATATATTTTTATGCGTTCAATCTTGGCCCTAAATCAAATAAAACTGCATTTTATCTAGATTTTTATTACCTTTAAACCTAAAAATTAACAATGCTTTTCTTAGAGACCACTAAAAAAACTGTACAGGAACATTACTATGACCTTTATTAACTTCTAAAAACATTGTTACACCCATTTTTGTTTTTCCATTCTTTAATTTGCTTATCCACAAGCGATTTTCCGCTGTATGACATATATCTGTGTGCAGTCAGCAATGGAGGGCCGGTACCGAGTGCAGCAGAACGACCTGCTCCTCCACGAGGCAGTCATCAAGAACGAGCCAGCGGCAGTCCGCGAGGCGCTGCGCCGACAACCTGACGTCAATTGTAGGAATAATGTAAGAACCACCATTTGATTGGAGTCATGTGTCTTGGTTTCGGACAAGACAGCTACACGCTTAATAGAATACCTTAATGGTGTTAAAATTGGATTATTTATTATCTCTACTGTTCATACTGGATCGAAAAATTGATTTATTGTTCAGCTTAATTAACGTTAAGAACCAAAAAGGAGCTTTCCATTGATCTTAATGCCGCACTCAGAGTCGTAGTGGCACAGATCTGTATTATGGATGTACTTTAGAGTCCAATTCAGACTCATAAATAGGTTCTCAGTCTATAAACTTAACATAGTTATAGAAAACACACATTGGATGCTAACGTGTTCGTTTGGGTTGTAGTACGGGAGAGCGCCTATCCACTGGGCGGCCAGCAGAGGCAATGTTGAAATAATAAATCTACTCATTGACGCCAGATGTGATATTGAAGCTGTAGACAAGGTAAGACTTTTCAATAGAAATACATACAGCGGGCGCACACCTTTGATGAAACAAACGCAAAACTGTTGTGCGATTGTCGATTGTTTTGCGGCCGATTCAACTGTTTAGTTGCACAACTAAAAATCGAGTAGTGTGCACCTCGATATAAGCTCATAGGAATCAAAGCGAGATTAAACAGTTGTGCGATGTTTTAGTCAAGGTGCGCGTGAGAAGAAAGATAGAAAGTGGGTTTTTAAATCGAATTATTTAAAGTGTAACGAATATTTCAGTTTGGAATGCGGCCATTGTTAATGGCTGCATGGCACGGCCACCTGGAGGCGGTGAAGACCCTCGTGCAGGCCGGTGCTTGTCTTGCTGCTACCAATAAGGTCTGTTGTCCTGGTAATTTGGTTTTAATTATACAAGTAGTAAACGTATCTAAACTTATACATAAAAAATAATTATATTTTTTATTAGAGGTATCTCACGAGTATGCAATATTTATTACTTTCTTATGTATTAAAAAGTCCATGTTTTTCATAGCATCAAACAATCCCTTTTACGAGCAAAAGGGACATGGCACCAATGTTACAATATTAATAAAATCCGCTTGTTATTTCGGCAGATATATATGTCACGGCGTCTGTGCTGAGTTTAAGTGACATTTTATTGTGTCATGAAATGTCATTAAGTAGTAAAGTATCCAGAACTAAACGAAACACTTCACTTATTCTTTTGGTAGAGTCGTAAACTGTTCTTGTTCTTCACCTTATGTTTTAACAATAATTATATGAAACACAATAAAAAATACATATGTGCAAGAAATACAAATTCATTTATATCACACACAACACGTTCATTCTACATCAATCAATCCCAACACAGGTGATGGATATGGATTGCTATTGAATTGAGAAGCGACAATTTGTAACTACAATTTTAGAAGGGCTATTAATCTTTCCATTTCCCAAAAAAAATAGAAAAACCAAAACACGTATTGCTGCTTGGAACTGTATATTTATATTGCACGACTGACAGAGGTCTTTTTCAAGGAAATCAATAATAAAAATAATTTATATCAAGCCTAAACATAACCCATAAAGCTGTCATTAAATCTTTATTTAGCTAGTAACAAATTACATAACAATTTTGGACAATCAATATCCCTTTTGGTAAGGGGAGAAATATTTCAATGATTCCTTTTGACTTTCTCTTATTTTTTTTTAAACTTTTTTATTTATAATCTGTTATTTAATGTAAACAGAAGCACAACGACCTACTTCAGTGCGCATGCGTGCGGGGTTCGGTAGATGTCGCTACGTACGCGTTGTCGCTAGGTGCAAGAGTGCAAGGTGCAGATGCGGCGGGCGACTCCCCTCTCGCACTCGCCGCACGCGCCGGACATACCTCCGTAGTGGAACTGCTGCTGGAGAACGGAGCTGAAATTGATGCGGTTAATAAGGTAAGGTTGACAGTAAGGTGTATTTTCTATTAAGCTATCTACTATCCCCGTTTGTATGACAGTCGCGGTTACGAAAGTAAAATAAGTACAGCCGAGGAATTTGGCGGTGTTCTACCTTGAAGCTGTAATTGAACGTTTTGTACACATGAAGACCACAACACGGAACAATACTAATAGGAAGTAGCTATTAAATGTGTCTATACACAAATAGGTAAGTCAAGTAAACGGTACTGCAACATATTGGTTATTTGTAAGCTAAGGCGGAGTTTGTCTCGTTGCTAGGAATAATTTTTCTATAAGTGGAACACTGCCGATTTCCACGATTGTATATAGAACGCTGCTCAAAGATATATCAGCCACGCGGACCTACAATGATACGTTGACCACAATGCTATAAATAGAGTCTCAGCTTATTATACACAGATCTGTAAACATTTTTAAAAACGACTCTGTATTTTTATATGTATCTGATTCACGTAAAAACTACTGGGCCGATTTTAAAAATTCTTTCACCATTAGAAAGGCCCTTTGTCTGTGAGTAATATAGGCCATATTTTTTTTTAATTTAGCAATAGCTAGTGTATTAATTTTTTTAGGCTGTGGAGAATTTCGTAATCGTATATCTATATTAAACCTGTTGTGCTGAATACAGATAGAGTGGTATGAGGGCAAGAAGTATTTACATTCCATTTGTTATTACAATAGTAAGATTGTTATAGTTCCCTGGTAACAGTCTTATTCCCTTCGCGTTTCACGCTCCATCTGCGGAATATACGCACGACTGGTCGCCTACAATCAATTTACTATTAACTGGTACGCAATTTCCAATTAATATATCACTATTTTCGGATACAAACTGAATTATTAACTTATAATTGCGAATTAATATTTGACGTAAAAGACATTTTAATTATTCTCTGTCACAAATTTGTTATAACAAAATCATCGATATCCAAACTCTTTCGGATAAATAGTTACTATAACCATTGTGTTAGTAACTTGATTTAATAGATGTTTTAAGATTCTCTCAAAATAGTGACAACAAGGAATAATACCTTATGCCATCTAAATTTTCTTTTTCAATTTATTTTTTCTCGCTAGCACTTCTTCTCCTTCTAATGCCTCTCCATTACTGGAGGTTGGCCGTCACCTCAGCGAATCTCACCCTGTCCTGTGCCAAGCGAAAAAGTTGTTCGACGCTGGCGATACTTGCCCGGATGTTTCTTAGCCATGATTTCCTTTTCCTTCCAACGCGTCTTCTGCCTGCGACTTTGCCCATCATCGCTAGCACATTTATGATTAAGAGGTTTATTGGATTTATGTATAAAATGCTAGTTTTCGCTCGGGAAACCGTCCTCGTGATTTTAAAAAAAGTAGCCTATGTGTTTTTCCAGACTCTCCTTAGCATCTATGCCAAACTTCATCGAGATCCGTTTGGCCGTTTAGGCTAAAAACTCTAATATCCATCCATTTAAACTTTCGCATTTATAATATTAGTAAGATAAATAACCGCTTTGACTGTGTTAAAGCTAACTGTATCTTTGTCTAATGTTTATTAAATAAACAAAGGGAATTTATTCCCAAGAGAAATGACACAACACAATTAACAAAACATCGCGTTTGCTTTTGAACTTTGCCTAAAAGGTATCCTCTAAGGATCTGTAAGGTTAGATTAATAATGGTATTTAGGATTACGGCAATTTTACACATAATACAACTAAATGGTTTTTCATAAAAAGAAACGGCCGGATACTGAAACGAATCTCAAACAATTCGCTGATTGGACGACAAAATGTTAAAAGAATTTGGTGTGCGTGACAATATCTTTTAAGACCCTGTAACATATTTAAATATCGTTTTAATTTCGACGAAAGTGTAACAACATACGTCCGGAAAATATCGACTTTTAAAGCCCGATATAAGTTTTGTGCATTAAAACTTTCTCTAGTTTTAAAATGTCCTCAAAGATACGCTACACCGCTTACGGAGTACCCTTAATAACTATATGTGGCAGTTAAACCGCTACGTTGTATTTTTGCTATTTTTATGCATTTAGATTTAGCGACAGACAATCGATTTCTTATTTTTGACTTAAATTGGTTTGTTCGTATGATAGTCTTCATATACTGCTAGAAATAGTTATTTCAAAGTCTGTAATGTAAATAATTACTTATTTTACATTTTAATACAGGTTTCTGAATGCCTGGTCATATGACAGATGCAAATTCTTATTGTACAAACACGTTCCATTTTTAAAAATCCGATACGAAACAGAATTTAATTTTAAATTTCGAATGAAAATTACATTCGAAAACCAATTATGGAAGGTAATCCGTTACCGGGTTTGGTTATTACCGGAACTTCGTTAGCGCGCTGCGGTAGGCGATGTGACGATTCGAATCGGTTTTTCGACGCTTTTTATTACGTTTTATGGCTTTTTTTAATTCAATTTTTCAACTGCGTATGAGAGACATTACGAGGAAAAAAGTTAAAATTTGAATTAACTATAGATTTTTAAATCGAATTATTGTGGAATCTTCCGAATTTGTAAAAGTCCAACTTTGATTTCCAATAAACAGAAAATATATTATATATTTGAAAGTCGTCACTGGAATTATAATGATATATTTTCTAATATCGTTCGAAATGTTGATTTTTGTTTTTTCCTAAAACAAAATTATTCTTAAATATTATTTTTCCATCAGACCCTTGTTATTGTACGACTAAACCTCGCCTCAGGTACAATAAGTAAATTTCATCGCTTTTATAACAAACAATTTTTAGATAACATTTATATGTCAGTGAGAGATAATTAAAGTGGCTCTTTCATTAAAATTAGTGTATACATTTTTATTTCCATTAAAATCGATGTGCTCAATTTAATTTAAGTAAATTCTATCGGACAAATCGATTTGATTAAATAATTATTGTTATTTTCGAATATTATTTTTATCTTCAAGAAATAACTAGAAAAAAATCGTAAAATCGAATTTTGAGAATGACGTTAAATACCAATGACTAACGACACAGGAATTTAATTAACCCAACCGCATCGACCATACATCCATCACCTTTGTAAAAATTCATACATTCATCTATCAATTGCGACAGCTGTGAGTTGTTGGAATATAATAAAAAAAACTATGTCTATTATTATAGATTTTTTTGTCAGTAGAGAGCCAATAAACAGGAGAATCAATATAAATGTATAAGTCAATCTTACTAATATTATAAATGTGAAAGCTAAGATAGACGTATGGATGGATAGATGTTTGTAGCATAAACGGCTGAACGGATGAAATTTGCCATAGATATAGGGATATTCTGGAAGAACACATAGACTACTCAATTATTTTAATTCCACGCCGATGGAGTCGTGGGCAATTTTTTCTGTAAGTTGAACACCGCGAATTTCTATTACTGCACAGAAATGTTTTTATCTCTGTTTATTACAAAAAGAATGACAAAGAGAGATGAATGAGATAGTACTGTCCAGGTGTTTCGATAGACCAAATGTATTGTATTCATGAACTGAAAAATGTCTCATTCCGTCTGTTATTAAAGCGATATCTTTGTGAACCCGTCGACGTTTAAGCTACTTCTTACAAAAGGAATTCATGAGTTTATAATTTAGTTTATTCGCCAGCGGCATACTAAATAATTAACTAGAATTATGATGTAATCATTTAAAGTAACAAGATATTGTATAATTTAACAGACATTTAAATTGTTAACTTATTTAAGTCAGACATCTTGTTACAGTAAAAGGGTAAAATAGATAAATTCATTTTACATGTCTTAACATTTTCTTAAAAAGGTTATGGCAGATTTATTATAATTTAAGTACTGTTTATATTTTATATTAATAATAGCTTTGGTCTGTGACTTCGTCTGCGTGAAAATAAAATAAACTAAAATAAGTAACCTGTGTGTTCTATCATCCTCTACATTCATGCAAAATTTCATCGAGATCCGTTTAGCAGTTTAGGTTACAAACTCTGACAAACATCCATCCATCTAAACTTTCGCATTTATATTTTTAATAAAATTTTCAGTTAATATCCCAAATAATTGCGAATTTCCACTACTACAAAATCTACGCAAAAACTCATGTCTCTTATAATCGTTGTTGTAATTATCACTTGGAATAAATGAATAATGGTTTTCAATAAAAGTAACATGAAATTAACGTAACAATTTCTCGTATATAAAAAACATTTCTATTTTCATTAGACTTGTAACATTGTATCTTGTTACAAGTCATCATTAGGTAACGTAACAAGCCGCGTCTCTCACTTCGTGATATGTCCCTAATAAATTACATATGTACACGTTTCAGCGTTATTTTTATTTCATATCCCAATTTTACTCTAATTTTATTTTGTACACAGAAAATTTTGTACAGACTTAGAATTTACTGTACTAGTATTACACAAGCTGCTTACTAAATTAGATTTCTCTTAAAAGAGGCTTGCAACGGAAATGCGTTACAGACAAGTTTGTAAAAAGTAAATAAAATGTTTTAACACGTAACAAATATTGGTCTTTTTTTTAATTACAATATAATGTACAATATAAGGAGCCCACCTGAATCCACCGAAATGGAAAGCGACCGCTGACAATACACATCCACAATTGCAGATGCGTTGCCTACCCTTAACTGACGGAGGAGGAGACGCACATAAAGAGGAAATTTCCTATGCGTCTACTCCACCATCAAATCCACTTTTTCTTCCCATCTTTTCCTCTTAAGAAATGGGTGGAAAGGGAATGGGACTAAAATTAGGCCTCCGGCACCAAGTGTCTACTGTCTACCCAATGAGATGTTTTTTTTTTATCCATAATAATAGTAATAAAGAAAAAAAATGATTTCGTCCTTGGCTACTTAAAAATTATTCAACCGACTTGACAAACTGTGTAACAATTAGAGAAAACTTTTAAGTTACTAACAACAGATTATTCCGAACGAAGGCGGATTGGATAACTAGTTAATTAAAATAATTGTAATAACCATTAGTCACGTCACAATACTTTTTTTTATTAAGCTGAATTTCAAAGGATAAATAAATCTGTATTTCTAGAAAAGGTATATTTCTGTCTGGATTAAATTAAATGGAAATTCTTTGTACAATTGTATTGAAGATGCTTTTATTTCATATTGTTAAAAGGGTTTGTGTATTCTCTGGAATTTTCTTTTCTATAAAAGTATTGGGTAGCGTTTTATACATATTTCAATATTTATCGCTAAAAAAAAAAATCATTTTCTCTACCAACTATTTTCAAAGGTTATTAAAAAATCTTGAAGTACAAGGATAACAGAAAAGGGGAGTGACGTCAGCTCATTTGGCGGATTGACTTTTGTATTTTTTCACAGATATGCGCTGGTTTACGATTTTTTTTAAATAATCCTCGTGAAATTCCACTTCACATATATCACTATCTCTGTTTATTAAAAGAGTAAGAGAGGGTGAGAATATATTTTAATACAAGTATTTCTAGTGGAAACCTACGGTAAAGTTTGGCAGTGGACCATTTTAGTTCTCAAGAGTATTCAAAGAGAAAGTGGTCACATCGATCCACTTTAACTATACGGTCACCTTTCAATAGTACAAAGCTTTGAAACCTCTTGTATTATAAAGTGCTTCTAAAGTTCTAAACTCGCGTAACAATATAATAAACTATCTTTCGTTCATAATTACTTGCCAAATAATGAGTAAATTAAAAATCTCGCTTCCAAAGTAGTCACTATAGTCAATTTGAAGGCAAACAAGAATATTTACATATTTTCTGATAATGCTATTATATTTTTTGTCTGTGACCTGGAGGGTAGTCTGGAAGAACACGTAGCCTATGCTGCTTTCGTTTTTTTATTACCACGGCGACGTAGTTGTGGGCGAAAGCTAGTTTATTAATATTAGTAAGACTATCTCAATCATCCTGACGCCTGGAGTCACAATATCATGACATGTGAGTTACGCTTGAAACTCTGAGCAAACGCTACACTTTAATCTCATGCGACTTCAATTTTAAATGGTTCGCATTTGTTTCTGACATTTTCAATTTTCTAACGATACGATTTTCAGGTGCGCGCTCTTCAAATGTCTGCATCATTAAATGCTTGTCACTATTTTTTGTTATAGTAAATTTTATTATAAGTTTTCAAACAACAATACTGTCAGAATACAATATTTACAGAATACAATATTAGGAACCGTAAGAAAGATGGAATAAATTGATGTTTTATACAATTTTCCGATATAATACCCAGCATAATGTAGTAACTTCGTAACAAATGGTTTCAAAGGCGGCCTAATTAATGAACACTTAAAGATATCGAGCGCACTCCCTGAAGACTGGCAGGACTTGGCTATGGCGATGTCTATGGAAAGTGCTTCTATTAATGAAACTTATTTAAAAATTAGTGAGTTAGCACTGCAAGAGACTATTTATTTTGAGACCGAGTAGCTAGATAAATGAGAAGAGATTGT